GCACACTGGCCGGGGAACAGACAGTGGCCCAAGGAGAAGAAGAGGGCAGCTCACGAGGTCACTTGTGCAGAACTCAGGGTCTCGCGGCTGCAAGTGTTAAACAGCTGGAAACCCAGCCACTTGCCTGGAAGAGAAAAAATGAGGGGGAAAAGCCACAGTCACAGAAGATGCCCTCTTCGAGAATCCTTACACTCATAACTCAGCAGGTCTTCACCGTCTGGAGCTCCACAGGGAAATCTGATGTCAGGACGGCAGGACAAAAGGGAGTACGTCACTCGCATCTGGGGAAGATTCGATGGTGCCTTTCTGCTCGGCGGGGATCTTCCTGCCTTGAGTAGGTTTTTCTCTGCTGACGTCACGAAATCCTCACAGTAACAGAATTCCTGTTTTGGAACAGCAGAGGGAAAAGAGGGCTGCAAGTCTTGGGCCACGTGGGCTGGGCCCCCCCGCGACAAAGGGCTTTCACCAGTCATGAAACCCTCGACTGCTGTGCATCACAATATCCCCAAAAAAGCAAAATGAGATTCCTAATAGGCCTTTAAACGGTAATATGAGGCCACCTGAAGTGACATCCCTGCTTTCATGGCTAAATAATGGGCGCTGTCGAGCTCTCAAACCAAGAACGAGCATGAGAACGCCAGCGCCAATCAGGCCAAATGAAAAGGACTTAATCTTCGGTGAGTAGTGCCTGGGAATCATCAATCATTTCAGCGGGTGAGGCTGGAGGCATGGAAGCGAGCCAGGCAGGCCCTTCTCTCTCTTTTGGAATCAGTGCATCTGGCTTCAGGTCAAATACAAATAAGAGACTGAGTGGAGGCAACTGCTCATCACTGGGGAACCGGGGAGGGGAGAGGAGGGAAGGGGAGGGGAGGCGAGCGCGTCAATCATGGGAGAAGGCAGCTGAGGCTCCGTGAGGACCAAAATTGGACACCCCCCGGGCAGACAGGTTCGCACGTTCCCACGAGCAGAACGTACTGCTGAGTACGTTTCCAAGAAGAACTGTTTCATTGGTAACGCTCATTTGTCATGTTCTTTTTTCTCAAATCAATTCATGTGAATTCAATGTATTCGAATCTCAAGAATGAATTCCATAATTCTGAGAAGGAACAAAAATTAATTTGTGATTGCGTGTGTGTATAAACACACACACACACACACACACACACACACACACACACACACATCCCCTTTTTTGGATGTTAAGTAAAGAAGAGACAGCATCCTGACAGAACACACGAGAGAATCCGAGAAGTCATTCTTCATTAATGTCTCCATCTAGTCCTAAGAGGTACCATCCAAAATGGCATGTAAGCAGAATAAAGCAGGAAGTGGAAAAGCTTGCTTTATACTGAATATTGAATCCCGGAATCCAAATTCTATCCACTTTTCATTAGGTAAGAGATTAAGTTTTCCTGGAACGCGAGAGCACACACAACCACACGCAAAGCCATTTACAAAACAACACAGGCCCTACATCGCCCATCGTTCATAAAGCCTTTCGAGGCCCCAATAGTAGATACTGTAGATACTGTCTCCTCACCGCATTCAGCGAAAGAGACGACCCAGCCTTGTCCTCCGCCTTAACTGGTCTCCCAAACATTCTGTGTTGAAGACGGCACGGTCTTGAGTGACGAACCGCAAATGCGTGGAAGTACGATATGGAATGGCCCGTCCAGACAGAGTGACCAGCCATTCGGACGGGATCTCAAAGAATTCTCAGCCTCGGCCTTCTGTGACGTGAGGAGCAGCCCCAGAACCAGCAG